ATATGATACAACTGACCTCGAATTTTCAAATTTTGTAAAAAATTGGAAACTTATTAGATCTGTGCACAAAAATATACCAGGAACAGTTTTATTCTTATCAGGATAGCTATTAGATATATCTTAGAAATAATTCCCAAAAGTGACCAGCATAAATCAACTGCATTTACCTGCTTATCCATTTCCTCAGCATCTATAATTTCAATCCGAATTGCATTATCGTATCACTATTTTACGATTGCAGTGTTATAACTGTGATTATTAGCGACATACATTTGGGTAGATCATTTACAAGTAAATATAGTGCAGTTTATAATAGCTAAAGCATTTTTACTAATATTATTACCTAGTGGCTACAACATGATAGACTACTATGACCAAGTATTGTAGATAAGTTTCGATAAGGGGACTTCTATATATATATAATATAATGTATATGTATTGCTACTAGAAATAGTAACGAAGCAATTTACTATTTGATGTCTATGGCCATTGATATTCTGTCAGGATATCTTTATACACAGGGGCTTACAGTTTGTAAGAACACTATGCTATACATGGCTAACAATTAAACTGAGATATAATATGCTAGGCACGGCTAATAATATACTTATTAATCTAAGAGGCGATCAAAAACAGCTGTATGCTCCCGCATGGTAACGTTATTGCAAACACTTTTTAACCATTCTGTAACATAATCCATATTGATATACGAGGCTCATAATTATTAGCCATATTTAGCAAAGTGTTCTTACGCACTTGAACAGTACCATTCTTACTAATTTACATATCAATATTAATTTAAGTTACAGTGAAACATCATAGTTTTAAATTGTTGTAAAGTAACTAAGCGTTGTGATTGTAGACTATTAGCCATGTTTAGTATGATGTACGGTAGTGTCTTTTCTATATTTATCTTATAATATCTTTAGTAGCCTATAATTATAGACCGTAAGCATAGACTCTATGCTAGAGTACATGTGACTATATATATATATCGTGCAGTAAGGTGTTGAGCTAATAATAAGGTTAGAGGTTGTTACAGTGTTAAATACTGTATTACAGTAGAAATAACTATGTTAGGATAATTCTGTTAGACTATCCTTATTTAGTTAACTTCTAATTTGGATATACTGTATTTTAATATAGCACTGACTTTTTATGACAGTGACACTTATACACATACTGAAATTATAATAGTTATAATAGGGAATGCAAATCATCTGCTTACAGTTCGAATCATTGTGATTGTAATTTACTTATGGTAGACTGTAAATTATCATGGAAATGTTCCGTGATAGGACATATCGTAATCTGACTATTCTGTATTAGTCATTACATGTCTATGTTCGTAAATACTGTTGTCTGCATTAAGGGAGCAGTAGCTAAAATTAATATCTAATTCAGTAAATGATTCTAATGTTAATTGTATTAACTATGACTCATGAACTATTGAGGAATAGTATATAAATGCAGTATATCGTGAAATAAAGAAGAATTGTCTAACTTAGTGTTT